TAATTTATTTTAAAGTTCTCCAAAGATCTGCAATTTTATGCTATCTGGAACATAGTGAAAAGAATATAGTGCCTTTATGTAGTGAAAATAGAATATCTTTAATAATACAACAAATGTAACAACATACAGTGAATTTCACGTATCCACCCTAAAAAGTATAGGCACGCCTTGGAGATATTGCAGCTCACCATAATAAGGCAAATATTGTAATGAAATGAGTCACACAACATTTTTGATTTTCCAGTGCATATTAATGTTATGTTTGCACTATAGTATAGTCTATTAAGTGTTCGATAGCGTTATATCTAAAAACCACATTATTATTAAAAGATGCTGACAATCGTCTGAGCCTTTAGCAATTTATAACCTTTTTGCTTGTGGAGGTTCTTACTTCCATGTTGGTGGCTGCTCACCAAAGGTTGGGGTGGCTGTGGCAGTTTCATAAAATCAGACAACAGTGATGTTTGCCATATTGACAGAATCTTCTTTTCATGAAAGATTTCTCTGTAGGCTCAGTGCCTATAGCTCAGCAGCTAGGGTGCCAGCCACATGCACGTGGTTGGCAGGTTTGAACCCGGCCCAGGCCTGCCAAACAGCAATGACAACTACAAACAGACAAACAAAAAATCTGGCATTGTGGTGAGTACCTGTAGTCCCAGCTACTTGGGAGGCTGAGGTAAGAGAATTGCTTGAACCCAAGAGTTTGAGTTTGCTGTGAGCTGTGATGCCAGGGCACTGTACCAAGGGTGACATAGTAAGACCCTGTCTCAAAAAAAAAAAAAAGAAAAAAAAGAAAAAGAAAAATTTCTCTGTAGCATGCAATGCTATTTGATACCGTTTTACCCCCAGTAGAACTTTTAAAATTGGAGTCAAGTCTCTTCTAGGGTATCCAACCTATGGCCCACCTGTGGCCCCTGGGCTGCATGTGGATTATTTGAGGACTGTTTTGTTTTTCTGCCATGTTGGATAGCACAAGAATTATGCACAGAACTTTATTTTGCTCATCAGCTTTTGTTAGCGTTTGAGTGTTTATTGTGTGGCCTAGGACAACTCTTCTTCTAATGTACAGCAGGAAAGAAAACAGGGTGGTGACCCCTATACTCTGCCACTGCTTTATCAACTATGTTTATGTAAAATTCTAAATCCTTTGTGGTCATTTCAAGAATGTCACAGCATCGTCACCAGGAATAGATTATGTCTCAAGAAACCACTTTCTTTACTCATCCATAAGAAGCAACTCACATCTGTTCAAATTTATTATGAGACTGTAGCAATTTAGCTCCATCCTCAGACTCACTTCTAATTCTGTTCTCTTGCTATTTCCACCACATCTAGTTACTTCTTCCACTGCAGTCTAGAACCTCTCAAAGTTGTCATCCATGAGAGTTGGAATTAACTTCTTCCAAACTCCTGTCAATGTTGATATTTTGACCTCTATCCAGGAATCGTGAATGTTCTTTTTTGTTTTTTCTTTTTTTTTTCTTTCAGAATGTAATGGGGGTACAGACATTTTAGTTACATGCATTACTTTTTGTCCAGTTTGAGTCAAGGTCAATATTCTTTTTTTTTTTTGAGATAGAGTCTCACTTTATTGCCCTCGGTAGAGTACTGTGGCGTCACAGCTCAACAGCAACCTCCAACTCCTAGGCTTAAGCTATTCTCTTGCCTCAGCCTCCCGAGCAGCTGCCTGCCACAGGTGCCTGCCACAATACCTGGCTATTTTTTGTTGCAGTTTGGCTAGGGCTGGGTTCAAACCCACCACCCTTGGTATATGGGGCTGGTGCCCTACCCACTGAGCCACAGGCCCAAGGTGAATATTCTTAATGGCACCTAGAATGGTTAATCCTTTCTGAAGGTTTTGAATTTACTTTGTTCATGTCAGTGGAATCACTATGGCAACTGTAGCTTTATGAAATGTACTTCTCAAATAATGACATTTGAAAGTTGAAATTGCTCCTTGATCCAAGGATAGCAGAATAGGTGTCATTTTAGTGGCTTGAAAACAACATTAATGTCCTTGTATATCTTCATCAGAGACTGTAGGTAATTAGATGCATTTTCAATGTACAGTAATATTTTGAAAGGATTCTTTGTTTTCCTGAGCAGTTGTTCTTAAAGGCAGGCTTTAAAGATTCAATAAACCAACTGGATTCTGTGGCTTATGGCTGTAATCATAGCACGTTTAGAGGTAGAGTCAGGAGAATTGATGAGGCCAGAAGCTTGAGACTAGCCTGAGCAACCCTACAAGACCCCATCTCTACAACAAATAGAAAAATTAGGTGGATGAGATGATATGCTCCTATATGCCCAACTACTCAGGAGATTGAGGCAGGAGAATTACTTTAGCCCAGAGTTTGAGGTTGTAGTGAGCTATAATGAGGCAGGCAAGAGAGCAAGACCCTGTCTCAAAAATAAAAGAAAAAAAAAAAAAACAAGAAAAACAAGATTTAGTAAACCATGCTGTAAACAGATGTATGTGTTGACACCAGGCTTTGCTATTTCATTTATAGAACACAGAGTAGATTTTTCATAATTCTGAAGGGCCCAAAGATTTTCAGAATGATTAATGAGTATTGACTTCAACTTGAAGACACCAATTCTGTTAGCCCCTGTTAAGAGAATCAGCCTATCCTTTGAAGCTAGACATTGACTTCTCTAGCTATGAAAGTCCTGATTAGCATCTTCTTCCAGTAGGAGGCTATTTTGTTTACTCTGAAGATCTGTTGTGTAGTATCACTACCTTCATAATTAAGTTATGTAGATCTTGAGGGTAGCTTGCTGTTGCTTCTGCATCAGCACTTGCTGCTTTACTGGGACTTTTATGTTCTGAAGACACCTTGTTTTCTCAAACCTCATGAACCAACCTCAGGTAACTCACTTTGTTGCCGTTGATAGAGTGCTTTGGCGTCATAGCTCACAGCAACTTCAAACTCTTAGGCTCAAGAAGTTCTCTTACCTCAGCCTCCCGAGTAGCTGATACAACAGGTACCCGCCACAATGCCTGGCTATCTTTAGAAATGACTATTTTTAGAGATGAGGTCTCTTGCTCTTGCTCAGGCTGGTCTTGAACCTGTGAGTTCAGGCAATCCACCCGCCTTGGCCTCCCAGAATGCTGGAATTACAGGGATGAGCCATTGCACCTAGCCCCTCTCAAGCTTTATAAACTTTAAGAGAATTAAGGCCTTAACTTTGGATCACCAGGTGTCCTCAAACTACGGGGACATGCAGCGGGTCACATGCAGCCCGCCTAAGGACATTTATCTGGCCTGCTGGGTGTTTTTGCCACCACTGCCTGTCCTGCTTAGCAGCTGACTCATCCTGGGCCCCCCAGTCTGGTCTTCCAATGGTCTGAGGGACAGTGAACTGGCCTCCTGCTTAAAAAGTTTGAGGACCCCTGGATTAGGTGTTGGCTTAAGGGAATGTTGTGGCTGGTTTGATCATCTATCCAGACCAGTAAAACTTTTTCCATAAGACTATTTTGCTTTCTTACCATACATGTGCTCACTGGAGTAGGGCTCTTTATTTCCTTCAAGAACTTTTCCTTTGCATTTACAATTTGGTTAACTGTTACAAGAACCTAGCTATCAATCTCATCTTTTCACATGCCTTCTCCTCTACGTTTAATTATGCCTAACTTTTGATTTAAAGTGGGAGATTTGTAGCTCTTCTTTTCACTTGAACACTAAGAGATGATAGTAGGGTTATTAAGTGGCCTAATTTCAATATTGCTGTGTCTCAGGCGTTAAGAAGGCCCAAGGAGAGGGGAAGAGATGGGCCTGTTGGTAGAGTAGTCAAGATACAGAAAGTCAACATTGTACATGAGCTCAGTTCTTGGTGTCCCTAAACAAATATGGTAGCATCAAAGATCACTGATCACAGTTCATTATAATGCATATAATGATAATGAAAAGTTTGAAATATTGAGAGAATCACTAAAATGTGACACAGAGACACAAAGTGAACACATTCTTTTGGAAAAATGGTGCTGATAGATTTGCTTAACTCACAGTTGCCACAAACTTTCAATTTGTAAAACATGCGGTATCTGTGAAGTACAATAAGGTGAGGTGTGTCTGTATTCAGGCCCCTTCTAAGTGTATCTGTTTTTCACAAAGTTCAGCAAAGTACTGCTAGTGATATATTGATAGCAGTTAAAGAGGGTATCCAATAAAGAGGAGTTAGGAAAACTTTAAAAATATGGTAATAAGAACTCAAAACATCATAATAATTTGAGGTGGGCAAGTCTATTCAGGACCAAATAATAGTATTCAGTGCATTACTGTAGCATGGCAAAGTGTATCAGTTGTTGTGTAATAATAATTGATTAACCAAACAATGATTACTCTATCTTCTTTTGTTTAAGAATAATATCAGGCTTATACAGTCCCATTTGATACACATATAAACTCCACCAATTAAAAGGGTTTGGAGCATTAAAAGTACACTTTACCTTCCTAAACATTTGGTTTATTGACTCTTTGATACTGTTACACATTAGCATATACATTATCATTGTATGTCCTGTTTAAATTATGAAATCTGTCCTTACCATAGGTGCCATGTGAATGATGTTTTCCTTGTTGGCATTTGTCATTTGTCAGTTAGAAATATGTAATTATCAAGGACCTTTTTGATGAATGAGAAAAAGAAAGATTTCTTGAATTGGTTGTAGTAAGTTGTGTCTTTAATAACTACTAAAAAAGAAAAAGAAAGCATTTTTTGAGAAAAGTTGATTAAAATGTCAAAGCCCTTAAAAGCAACATGAGTATAATTAACGACATCATAGTGGAACCTAATGTACACTATAATTTGTGAAAATAAATACATTGTATTTATCCAAAATTTTGAGTATTTATATGTTGATTTCTAGGGTGGTATAGGTGTAATAGTTTACTTGTGCTAAGATGACAATGTTTGAAAGTTTGTCTTCCTGGAATACATTTTTTTCTTTTTTACTGAAAACTTCAGTACAGTACACTGTTTGTTGTTCTGTGTGACAGGATGCCCAGAGTTATATTGACGAATGTCCTGGGAACGGAGTTAGGAAGAAAATACATAAAGACCCCACCTGTAACTGAGGGAAGTTTGAGTGGTACAGACAACTTGCAGTCAGAGCAACTTTCTTCATCATCTGATCGCAGCCTAGAATCTTGTCAAAATCTAAATCCTCACAAGAGCTGTTTTTTATCTGAAAGGTATGTTTAGTGATAATTTTACTCACATATCATATTTATTTTCATGTACTGTCCCCTCTTCTTTCCCCATAGATAGGTTACTGCTAAATGTGAAGTAAATGTGCTCTGATAGCATTGTGCTTTTTCTTGCCTTGTTGCTGGAATGGCTGTTGGAACCAACAGTCTCTTGCTAATAATCAGTTTCAAAAGTAGCAGTCACCATTCTGTATTTTGGGAAAATAGATGCAGACACTTAATGAAAATTGAGTTACATGTTTCGGTCTCCTAGTTTATTTGCCTGGTATGTAACTGAAGTTCATTCCCCTGACATCATCTGTTTCTCTCTTCTTCTCCATCCTATTTATCCATCTATTTGTCTGTTCATCCATCCAGTCTTATCTACTATTTTGTATTCAGATTCTAGAACTATACCTGCTACTTAGTGCTCAGTAAATATTTGTTGCATGAATAGCTGAATGCATTCCTTACCAAAATGGTTTGAGATAGCTGAACTACACACAAATGTGGCTTACTGTGCCTATAAGACAAATGCGTATCTGAAGATGCCTTGGTTTTAAGTTCTAGGAATACATTGTGTGTGGACTGGAAATAAAAAATAATATGTAGTAAAAAGCTAAGGGATGATCAATTAGTAAATTCTACTAGACTTTTAAAGTTTCATTTGCCTTAGAATCTTGAAGCTTTTGCTTTTCTTTATTATTTTTTGTTTTCAGCCTATAAAATAAGGGGTTTTTTAATCTAAGTGAAAGATTTATCCTATCTTTCCTATTTTTTCTTCTGGAACCATCCAAAGGTAACTTCTGGTTTATATTTCTGTTATAAACCTAATTACATAGTAAAGAGTACATGTATTAATAATTGCCTTTTTAATTTGTAATAAATTTATTTTGTGGGGGTTTTTTTGTTTGTTTTTTTTTTTTTTGAGACTGAGTCTCACTCTATTACCTTGGGTAGAGTGCTGTGGCATCATAGATCACAGTAATCTCAAACTCTTTTTTTTTTTTT